GAGAGAGAGAGAGAGAGAGAGAGAGAGAGAGAGAGAGAGAGAGAGAGAGAGAGAGAGAGAGAGAGAGAGAAAAAACACTGTGCACCCTCTCATCAAGACTGTATCGGAGCGGAAAGATGGCTTGTATACGTTCGTAATCAGGGTGCGTTATGTTCGAGGCAAGACATTAGCAATTGTTTCATTGATCGCTTAATTGAAGGCATCGATCATTCGCTTGACTGCTCTTTTTTTGATTGCTCGCTTGTACTTGCTTGCTTGCTATCTTGATTGTTGGTCGCTTGATTGCTTGCTTGATAGATGGCTTGATTGCCTGCTTGATTGCTTGTTTGATTGCTCGCTTGATTGCTCGCTTGTTGATTGCTTGCTTGATTGCTCGCGTGTTTTGCTTCCTTGATTGCTCGCTTGTTGATTGCTCGTTTGATTGGTTAGCTTATAAACACCCTGGTTCGCTTGTTGAGTTAACAAGAAATATGGGAGCAAGTAATTAAAAAAAACAACCGGGGTTAACACGCGGAGTTTACGAGGACAAATATAAAAACACGCGGGATTAACACGCGGGGCTAATGAGGACAATATCAAAACACGCGGCGTTAACACGCGGGGTTAACCGGGACATATATAAAAAACACGCGAAGTTAACCAGGGCATATATCAAGAAAGACTGAGATATACCCATGCAAAATACGTACAGAGGTCGTAGGCGCGCGAGTCGCTAATAAGTCGATCTTGCATATATCTGCACTCGGGAAAAGACGGGGCGGCCATACTGAGTAGAGATTAGAGGGAGAGAAAGAGCGCAGAGAGCGGGAGGATGCCCTTCCCGCCGTGACATGTAGTAGGAGAATAAAAGAAGATCGTTCCCGCCCCTCAGGGACAGGTAGAGGCCGGAAAAACACAGGTAGAGGCGGGAAAAGCGGGAGCGGGGAACGGATCCCGATGCTGCTGTTGAAGATAATATGAACTTGAAAGGTTATAGGTCACCGTGGCAGTTGTAGCTGTCCCGGGACGACTGATTCGGCTTGGGGTTTGAAAGGTGAATGTATTACAATCGTGGGTGCCGTTTTTCCATCTGGACCTAGACCATCACGATCCGATTCCACTGGTTCTTGACCTCGATCACGACACAAAGAGAGAGAGAGAGAGAGAGAGAGAGAGAGAGAGAGAGAGAGAGAGAGAGAGAGAGAGAGAGAGAGAG